CATTTTGCAAGGTCAGGTGGTAGCTCAGACTTCATGGTGCACTTAAGCAAAAGTAGCAGGCCTCCAAGTGCTGGAGATGAGGAGATGAGATTGATGTGGGAGATAGATATAATAAATTTGTTTTAGATATTTATAGTAAATTTATTAAAAGTTTAGGAAAGGTGCTGGCTTCCTGGATTGGTTTATTTCCTTGATCACTGTCCCCTTTTCACAGAGCTGTTCTTACTTATTTCTAATAAAAATCTCTCCCCCCCACACCACCCCCGGGGGGGGGAAACCATCAAGGAAACAAGAAATCAGGTGGTTCCAAAGCTGCCTGTTGGGGTAATTTAAATATCAGCTGGCAGAGCTGTGCAGAGCACCAGGAAATAATTGACATTGGATGAAAATGAGGCCACAAGGCAAGTACTTTCACTTTTTAAACATACTTTGAAGTCTTTTTAGACATACTTTGCAGTAGTCCAAAATCTCTTGCTTCATTTTCAGTTATCAGGAAATTCACGTCATCTCTCCTTATATCCTCTTGGCAAGGTATTATTTATTTAAAGTACAGCCAAGGACTGTTACAGGTACCTGACTAATGGTCATGATTCAAGCCATTAAAAAAAAAAAAAAAGATAACACTGGATCACTTTGGGGAGAAATTAAGACAATTTCTTTCTGCCTGGGCTGTCCTCTAATCACATTGTACTTGTGTCTACCAGTTTCAGATATGAATTGAGTTCTGGCCAGCAAAGCCAGAACACGTAAGCTGCAATGTGGGGGATACATATAGAAACCTGTTGTGATTCTCCTCTCAGTTATGTTGATATTCCAGTGCTGCAATTCCGTGTGCTTCCCTGGAGTTGTTGAAGGCATGGAGGAAGAATCCAATGCCAGTATGCCACAGAAGTAACTGTGGGACTTTTGTTTACCACCAAACTCATCCTGTAGATTATTCAGCACAATTCAGAATTATTCTTATTTAATGTGGTAAGTTCAACTAGGATGGTTAACACTAGAGTTTGATATAGTGAATTTCCTCTAGAGATTGCCATTCTCTCAAATGAAAATAAAAATAATCTCTTGGATGCATGAACAACAGATTATTGTGGAAAGTTTCCATTAAAATATGTTCACAAGTTTCATAGGTACAGCAAATATTGGTAGGCCAAGTCCTCTTTTAAATTTACCCTAAACAAGAATATGTTTAGTTGTTTGACTTCCTTGAACTTTAATATTGTCCAGTGTTCAGTACACTTGGTTAACATTTACTGGAGAAATATAAAACAGTATGTAACATCAAGACTAGTTTGCTAAAATAAAAGTAGGCTGTGCTTACTGATGTAATGGCCCTGGAATAGAAATCTTTTGTAAAATATAAACTTGTGCAGTATTTACTGAAAATAGTAACATGCTTGTACTAACTGGATCTTTTTCCCCTCTAAAATCTTGGCTCTCTAGGTTTTCTGTTGGAGATTTAAGTAGGACTGAGGGCTTTTGCTGGAGATTGGCCGTATTGCATTGCTAGGTAGTTTGGGACTTCTTTTAAGACCTAGTCACAAAATCTCAGCACACCAGGAATACCTTAAAATAGCACCAGGCTAGAACAAAACGTAAACAAAAAGTTCTGAAAAGCACGTTTGGGGAGCTCTGTGTAGGTCAGTGAAGTCCAAGCATCTCTATTTCGAAAGAGATCTGTTGACTTGATTTGCTTGTATATTCGAGATCTCCAACAGGGTTATTACTGTTTGGAAATCTTTAAGAGTTTCTTCTAGCACATTTTGTTGCAGAATATAATGAAGTCCTTTTAATTTTTGTCCTAGATTTTTGTTATCCTGTGATACTTGTTTGCTCTCTATTTCTCTAGCTAGCTGGAAATGTAAATTCGGTTTTCTTACTATCATATGGTAAGAGCCAACAAAGTACCTTAGACCAGCACAGAAACTGAAGGCACATTACTAGCTGAAGGCTCGTTGCTAAGAAATAAGGGCAAATTTACAGCATTCCGTTACTGTACATTAACTTATTGCTGCAGCAATCTGTTGGGAAACGAGGCTGAAATCTTCATCACCTTGAGTGGAATAATCACCTTTTCTTTTACAACACAAGTCCATTGACATAGCTAATTATGCCATCCTAAGCTTACCATCTTGCTCATTTGCACACCAACATGCTTGTGTAATTTGTACCTGGACTGATTTTGAACCCTCACTTGCAAGATGTGAAGTTCAGTGCATGGAGAGATTTTTGCAGAATCACAGGGCTTGGATATAGGGTTTAGAATAGAAGGACCTATTATCATTGCAAACAGTGTTATCGGTCACTCTTCTCCTTTAATGCACATATAAGAAACCAGTCTCAGCCAAGAAAAACCTGTCCAGGAAGACAGATTTGCAGCAATTACTTACCTAGGCAGTTTCCCCCCTACCTATTTTGGGATATGCACCGGCCACAGGAGTTCTTCCGCGGAGGTCCGAGTCACAGAAGGGTTATTTCAGCATGTTTGCTTCGGCACAGGAGATGACCTGTGGCAGTCAGGGTGTTGGTCAGTGTGGTTAACCATGGCGGAGTGGATTTTTAACAAACCGGTAATCATGAATGTTAACAATTTAGTTGGTTTGGATTCCTTAAATGTTTTCCTTGTGATGTTACTAGAAGTAATTTGAGTGCAATGTGTGTCTCATTACATTCACTCTAGAGCAGTGAAAATCCATTTAACTACCAGAAATAATTCTAGGTTCCATTATACAATAGCTTTGCCTACCACTGGGTTACAGCTGGTCCTGGAGTGAGGGTAGCAATTCACAAGTTTTAATTGTTTTAGTACTTCAATGTTGCAGTCAAAAATGTCTTTCAGAATTTTTTCTTGTACTGGATAGAGTTCGTGTAAAAGTAGTAGTTCCTTTCAGAAGGTCAGCAAAAGGCACAGCTATGCACGCAGATTTGTGTACTGTTACAACTGTGTGCTGTTGTTCGGATTGGAGAGGAGACTTCAAAAGTTGTCCAAGCACTTCCATGTGTGCTCAGTGGAAACGTGGTGGCTCAGACGCTCTTGGAAATTCTACTCTCAAGTTGTACGCTCTTCGTTCTGCCTTCCCCTCTCCAGCTTGTGCGGATGCTGTAGCACGGGTTGTAATTCTGTGCAGTGTGACAGTGAAATGGCTAACTCTTTATTCTGGAGTCAGTGCCAGTGAACTGTAAATGAATATCCAGCAATCTGAGCTGGGAAATCAAAGGTGGCAGGCATGTGCTGCTAGTCCTTCAATTATGCCAGTCTGACAGGGCACAGAGGCTTGGAGTGGAGGGAGATTTTCCACGTTACTATGCTTTGATGCTTTGATATGCTTTTGGACTTGAAGCCCTCACCGCAGCCATACTGGGTGTAGTATGACTCTTCCTGCACCCAGTACCTTCATCTCTTCATGTTGTGCATGTTGTTATGAGAGGAGGCCTTGCAATGAAAGTCTTTTTTGTGGCATGGTTTGTTTTCACACAGACTTCTCAAGACGTTTGAGAGGAATTGATGAAAGTCCTTGACCGTACAAGAGGACAGAGGATTTACTCCCCATTGAAAATGATTGTCTGTTTTGAACAGCGTTTATGTGGATAAACGCTACCTTAATATGGCGCTCAGAGGCAAAATTGAGGTGAAAAGTGATCCTTTACTGGGTGGTTTTTATCTGTTGCCTTTCTATATAGACTACTACACTCGCTTATATTTTTTTAAAATAAGCCGCATTTTTTTCTGAGAGGCAGACAAGAAGAGAATTTATCTCAGAATTTGTCCAGGCACCCAGCATGTTTAAATAGTCTTGGCAGCAGGATGCCTCTTCTGGCATTATTCCACCAAAAATCTGCTCTCTAGTAATCTGTTGTCATTCAGTCTGCTCAAAATTGCAGGGAGGATTGTTGAAGGAAGTGCTAAATGTATGCCACCTGCTCTCACAGCTAGGTGCTGTGAGTATTCGATATGAAGAAGAAAACTCTAGAGAGCGGCCTTCAGGGAAGGGGCAGGATTGGTGGGCAGGCAGCAGCATTCCCCGTTCTCTTTCAAATACTGCATGCATTGCGTATTTACATCAGTATGTCAGTGAAGGGATCCTGGGAGCTTTGGCCAATAGCCAGAGAACTAAGAAAAAGATACATAATGCTGCGGGGGGGAAAAATGTTGTTGCATTTTAATCTGCTTCCCAACTGGTGACCTGTGTTACTTTCTCTGTTTTTGGTGGGGTTTTTTTTTTTCTTTTTAAGAGGGAGTGTACAGTTTCTTTGATCAATGTAGCAACATATTGCCTACCACGAGGCTGTTTTCTGTTGAGTATCTTAGGCTTTTGAAGCTCTTGAACAACATTAAAGATAAGCTGGAGTCCCAGGCCCCTGGGAGAACGTTAGGAAGCCCACGGAACTTCCCTCCACTGAGTGCTCAAGTCTGTGGCACTTCTCCAGCGAAGTGGCTGGAGATGCAGATTTAATACACATTAGAAGTAAGCTCTTTAAGGGAGAAAATTTACTTTAGCAAACTTTTTTTTCCAGTGCAACAGAAATATTGAACAAGTATGTTTGTCCAGTTTAGCTTGTCTTGCTGCATTTTTACTTGAATGGGCCAAAGGCGAAAAAAAAAAAGAAATATGAATCTAAACTGGCAATTTAAAGAGGAGGAAGGCTATTCAAGGAGGGTATGTGGATCCAGCTTTTCTTTATTCTTTTTATTTTTGCCCTAGTTACTCCCTTTTTCCAATAAAAATTCTAAGAGAAGTGATTCTGCAGGTGCATATTTATTACTTAGGTGTACAGACATAACACTTTGCTATATTCTGTGCAGCATGTAACAATAACACCTTATCTCACGAAATGTTAGATTTTGCAAATACAGCCTAGGGATCGAGGCCAAGCCAGCCTGATAAAAGCAGCACCTGCATTCCAGTGGCCAGTGCACACCATGTGATGGAAGTTATAACCCAGGTAAAATGTTAATCACTGAACTTGGCACAGCTGAAGCTTTTAATCTTTTATTACAGTTTTCTAAAGAGAGGCAACTTACGGACAACAGCCCAGAAAAACTGAAGAAGGAGTTAGAAGAAGAACTGCAGCTGAGTAGCGAAGACTTGCGTAGCCATGCCTGGTACCATGGACGTATTCCTCGGCAGGTATGTGCTTCCTGGTCTTTGCATTGCCAACAGTGCTTTGAGCTTTTACGGACAGATAGGATTGCACTGAAATGTTACACATTGATTTCTGATGTTTGCATTAATTTAACAGCAACATAACTCTACTAGTGTGAAAACCATGTTATTTCTTTATCACAGCTAGGTGTAAATAAGACTGAGATAGAATTCAGGGCAGATGTTAGTGGAAACTATAAACGTTATAGGATTTTTGTGCACTGAATAAAGGTGCAAGTGAAATTTAAACTTTGTATGAGGATAATATCTCCATATGTTGTTCAGAAATGCTGGCATTCATTTGATTCAGTATACTTAACTGAAGTTGAAATGTACTACTTTAATTTCTGGAGCTTGGAATTTGGGAGAGGAAAAAACACAAAACCTATGTAATAACTTCATTTTGATCCTTACAATGACAGTTAAAAATATTTTTAATACTGTCATTATATTGAGTCTTCTGTACCAAAAGCATCTGGAGCTCCCCCTGCGGGCCTCACTCCAGCTCTCACCGTAGCCGTAACCCTGTCTGCTGCCGTTCGTGTAAATACGGAGAGAAGGCACAGTATCCACAAACACTGCACTTAGGACTTACTGTTGGATACGTAGTTTATCTTACGGAAAGGACTAACTCAAAACAGAGAAAAAGACGTTTTCAGACTCTTCCTAGTAATATGCAGTAATCACTAAGTATAAAAAAAATTAAGTCTCTGTTGCTTGAAGTAATAATAATGAAAGGAAGATTTTTGGCTGCTTATAGTAATGGCTTCTAAACCTTTTTGTGAATATATGTTGAAAAGCTTTAAACTCTAGAATCCTGAGTCATTGCTTTCCCTTCAGGCCTTCTTTTCTATTAAGATATTAAAAGAAATGGGTCATGCTTCTGGCTGCCGGGCATTGTTCAAGAAACTCCCTCGGATCTCGGCAGCAGGGTGACCTCACAATTTTGGAACTCTAGGGATCATCCTTCTACCACTTCTATTCCTTGCTCTTTGTTTTCTGGCTTTGCCTGTGCTCTCTGAGCAGCCAAATAAAGTCCTATGTTTAGGAGTATTTTATTGCCAAGGGAATTGTTTAACTACTTGCTTTCTGATTCTGAAAGTATTTTGCATATCGTTTTTTTCCCCCTCAAAGGTGGCAGAAAGCCTAGTTCAGAGAGATGGAGATTTTCTGATTAGAGATTCTCTCTCCAGTCCTGGGAACTTTGTTCTTACCTGTCAGTGGAAAAATAGCTCTCAGCATTTTAAAATCAACAGAACAGTTCTAAGACTCAATGAAGCGTACTGCCGTGTTCAGTATCAGTTTGAACTTGAAAGTTTCGACAGCATCCCTGGCTTAGTCAGATACTATGTTGGGAATCGCACACCAATATCGAAGCAGAGTGGAGCAATAATTTTTCAGCCTATCAACAGGACTGTGCCTCTCAGATGTCTAGAAGAAAAGTATGGTGTATCTCCAGTCCGACAAAAAGAAAAAAGTATCCCTGAAGGAAAAACAGAGACTGCGAAAAGGCTGAGTCTTGGTGTATCCAGCATGCAACCCCAGGAGCAGAGCTTATCCAGAGGAAATCTTTTGAGGTACTTTAGTTTTGCTATCCTTCTAAAGGGAAATTGGGTAACCCTGTCTGCTTGTGTTGAAGGTGATGTGAGTTTTTATGCTGATTTTATGTGGAAGGATTAGGCTTCAGGTGTGCTAATTTTTAGCAAAAATTTTTTTTAGGGCCTGATTTTGAAACTTCTTGAAGTTGTTGAGAAGATGCTAACTACTTTATGGTTGCTCGATTGGATTTTAGAAAATTTAAACTACATTAAGGAGTTAAATAGATGTGCAGCATTGCCACTCCCATCGTAGCTTCATCCATCCCAGAGTCTTCACTCATCATGTGATACAGAGCATGCATCAAGTTTAAAGGAAGCCTCTTAGCCCTGCTATGGCATTACAATAGTGACAAATTTAGCCTAGCAGAAGTATGAAATGCTAGCAGTTTGGTAAATGAGTGAAATAATCAGATTCTGAAAATATCTTTGGAAAAACAAGATGCCCATATGCAGTTTCATAGGGTCTGGTTGCTTGAAGGTGGTGTTGCCTTTGGCTCTGGTTCTCCATTTGCGGGTTGATGGAAACCGGAGAGAGTGAAGGGATAATTCAGTTGAAATCCAGAGTGAGAGCAAATTTAAGACTCTGGAAGCATAACAGAGGCGCAATTTGTTCTTCATTGGCTTAGTAAATCATTACAGTCCTGATATATACTGAAAGATTAAAATGAAATCTTGCTGCTGCTCTGGAGAAGTCTTTCTTCCCATATATCATTTCTGCAGTAAAAATACTAGGTATTGGGCAAAGAATAAGATATTCTGGTAAATCTGGCTCCTTGATTAAGAAGGATAATGGATCCTAATTTCTCTTCAGTGCCCAGATCAAATGTTCTGTTGAGAAATCTTAGCATTCAAAGACACATCCTGATGAATACTGGAGGTTCACACGTTAAATCCCCTTTTATTGCTGCCATACCAACATGAAGTAGCTTTTATTCTTATGAGCTGCCAAAGTGCAGTGCTAACGATCCTTGCCCTGGATATGATATATGCTGGTGATTAAGTGTGTATGTTAAGAGTGTTGGATTTGAGTGATTTTTTTTTTTTTTGTCTACCCTAGAAACAAAGAAAAAAGTGGTAGCCAGCCAGCTAGTTTGAATCATGTCCTGGAGAAAAGATTTCCCCTAAAGGCTCACCAGTCGGAGAGCTATCTGCCACTAGGTACGTGTGGGAATTAAACTTCTAAGACTTAGAAACTGTGTGTGTCTCAGCTGTCTGTTAACGCTTCAGACCAAAGTTGGACCTTTGGGTGTTCCAAGTACTGTCCATACGGCTGCTGTTTAACAGCCAGCATAAACTAAATTAGTATAAGCATTGCACTTCAAGTATAGCTGACAGGTTATTTATTTACAATGCACCAGCCAGCTTGGTATCTTAGCACACAATTGAGCAGGCTTCCACACCATAAAAATGGCATGAATTGGCATGAATTAATATCCTTTCTGACAGTGTTACCTTTCCTCGCTTGTGGCTTACAAGAACTGACTTGTTTAACTCCTGTTGTTCTGACAAAAGTCTGTTGAGTAGAAGAGGTGAACTTCATAGAAATCTTGGTAACTGCATTTTCTCACGGCAGAGTATGCAGATGTGGTACTGTGGTGTTCTCCACCAACAGAAAAGTAGTGTCATGGCTTCATATTCTATTCTGTTCCTCCTTCACTCTCTTTCTTTTTCCCTTTTTTTATCCTTTTTCCCTTCAACCCCCTTGTTACCATCTGATTCTTGTTTTCCAGAGCTGTCACTGTCATTGCTTTTATGCAAGTGATACGAGGTGTACCAGTACTTGTTCAGCTGCTGATTTTGGCTTTTTCATTCTCAGAGGCACGTTGTTTCCATACCAGCATACTGTGTAAGGAAACTTGCAATGATACTACAGCTGTTAAAATTTATAACACCCATTACAGAAAGACTTCTTGAGATAAAAAGATGTTAAATATTTGTATAATGAAACTGTACCTTGATAGAAAGGGTGCACTCCTGTGTTTAGCAGCGGGATGGACAGAGGCATTCATAAAACAATTCTGTCTCTTTGTAACTGAATCAATTATCTTATTCCAAACCATGGCTGCAAAAACATTTCTTTTGCTACTGTAACAGTTAACCTAAAAAGTACTAAACTAAACAGTTTACTAAAAAGTACAGCTGTGTGTTTTGTGATGGCGTCCTCAGAACAGGTTCTGGTGTCATATGGCTGTATAACGAGATAGGCTGTGATCTGCAAATTTTGTTATCTGCTGTGTGAATTGAGAGCCAGCTGGAAGCAAGCAGCCAAGCCCACATGATAAAACCGGCCGACTTGCTGTGGATACAAGCGAGTGCCCTGAGAACTCTGATATGGGAATGTCTGACATACAGTTCAGTCCTGTATTTGAAGTTGATAGGTTTGCATGTGCAATAAGTACAGGATGAGGCATAAATATTTAACACGGAAGTATGTAGATGTATTTCTCCAGCTCTTCAAATCAGCTACTGTTTAGCAAAGAGATTAGCATCCCTGAAATTCATTCTTTCCATACCCCACTACCTGTTCAGGCTTGACTTTTGGGAAGCTTCTCTTTCATCTCAAATTTATCGTTCTCAGAAGCGACTCATCTCTTATGTGATGCAACTGGAAGTTTCTGTTTTTGTAGGGTAGATCGGGTTACAAAGGAACCTCCTGTTGCAAGCCATGGAGACTATCCAGCTCTGACATTACAGCTATGTATGCAGTAGGGACTAGAGTTATTGTCAGTGTTACCACATAATAACATTATAGTGCAGCTGTTCTGTGTATTTGGGATTTTGGGAGGATCAGCAAGTGAATGGGATTTACTGGCTAGCTCATTTCTGAAAATATGTATTTCAAATACATTTCTGATGGTGAATAATTGACATGATTTGATACTATTTCCCTTGGGGAATATTGTTAAGAAAATGAACCCTGAGTTAGGCATCAGGAATTGTATATGTTTTTGCCTTCTAAATTATTGCATTGGGAAAATGATTATTTTTTTTTCTTTCTGTTTTCCTCTACAGGTTCAAGACATCCTTCTCAGTTACCTGAAGTAGATGCAAACTCCTGTCCAAGCTCTCCTGCATTTAGAACAGGCAGTGAACCTTCTCTGAGCCCCACAGTTGTTCTGAAAGTTACCTCTGAGTCACATGTAGGGGAAGCTCTTAGAGGATCAGACAGTCAGCTCTGTCCAAAGCCTCCACCTAAGCCCAGCAAAGCACCCTTGCTGAAGCCCCCAGAGTCTCCTTCAGCCTCTCACAGTTCAGAAGGACACTGTTGTGAACTAAGCCCTGCCAGAGGTCCTGCAGCAACAAAACAACCTTTATGTCAGAAAAACAGCTACGTGGAACATCTGGTGCTAAAGGAGAGGGGAACACACTCATTCAGGAACTCTGAAACGAGCTATTTGATCCTGGAAGACGATCCTATAATGAGCTCTGCAGATCCTTTAGAAGCTTCAACTGAACTGGCTGAAGACAACAGCCTGTTTTTTGCACCTGTTCTTGAGACAGTGTCTGGTTTTAAACCGAATGATTTTGAATCCAAACTACTTCCTCCTGAAAACAAACCACTGGAAACATCAATGTTAAAAAGGGTTAAGGAGCTATTTACCAACAACAATCCAAAGATTATTGCCCAACATATTCTTAGAATGGACTGCAAGGTAAGAAAGATTAATTGTAAAAGATAATAAATGTAAGAAGAAATACTTTTTTTTTTGCATTTTATTTTACGTTATGTGACTTTAGACTTTTTTAACAACTGATTTGAAAAGATAAATGGTTAGATTTGCAGTTAGTGTAATAAATATATTGACTTGCTTGCAGGGGTGGGATTAATTTTTTTTTCTTCATTTGAAGAATGCTCACAAACACTTTGGACTAAAGGTCTCTCCCACCAGCCTTGACTTTACATTTCTGTGTTCCATGGGTTTGCTTATTTGTTTATTTCTTAATCTCCTATCAGTTGCTGTATATCTGTGATTCAGCCTTTCTTCTATACAGGAAGAAGAGGTATCTGTGTTGAAACCCACAGTGGAAGCAACTACTGGCGACAGGAAATAGCTAGTCAGGTTGTGTAGGCAAATAGTAGACAGCACCTAGTTGCCATACCATTGGGCACAATGTAAGAGTTTGAATGGCACTTAATACATATAAGTTTCTAAAACTAACAGCTCTTCTCATCTTGTCTTATGATGGCATAAGCAGCGTGGTAAAATAGTTATAAGGACTTCTGCAGTTCTCTCCTACGAGAGAACTGTATTGCCAGTGAAATTGCTTAGAAAGCGGAAAAAAAAAACACAAATATTTTTCACAATGTAGACTTTGTTCAACTGGCAGGGCTTGGAGATCAGCCATTGGAACAGAAATATGGAAAGGCAGGAGAAGAAAAGTCTCTCTAACGAGATGATGATTTTGTGTAGTAAAAGAAACATGCAACTGCAATTAAATCTATGCTGGGATGCCTGAGTGCTGTACCTGCCACAAAGCAGCCCCAGGGACCAAATGTTGTGTTAAGGATTTAGGAGCAGCTTGGGAAGTGACACATTCAACTACTCATTGGGGGAACCGCATTGCAGACCAGATAAAGTGGGAGTGGTGGTGCTCCAGCAGAAACCAAACTGCAGCATTTTCCTAATGCTGCTGTACTGATTCACACCGTAGCTCTGGCAGGGGAACGGTTCATCAGAACTGTTGAAGCGGGATGAGTGTGTGTGTGTGTGTGTGTGTGTGTGTGTGTGAATGCTGCCTGCTGGGATCCTGCTGACAGCAGGTTCTCTTCAGGAGCAGCATTGGCTGCTGCTGAGTGAGCCTTCGTGCAGACACGGTGACTCAACAACTGCTCAGCAGCTCCACTTCTGCTTGCTCTTTCCAGAAGTGATAGACTGCGTCTTCTTTACTATAACTCTTCAGTACAGAAATAGCATTCTCCAGCATCTTATTATGAAAATGCACGTTTTCCTCCTTCAATCTAATAACAGCAACCAGAATGTCTTTTAATGTATTGCTAAGGTGTTTGTTGACTGAAGGCATATGGTGCGCATGCCTTAGTGAAGTAGTAAGGGTTTATATACCTAGATAGTATTTAATTAGCTCGTTGAAGTAAATTAAGCATAATCTATATTTTTGGGGGAGTAGTACCTGAATTGTAGCAAAAGACGTGTCTAATTCTCATGGCTGCACTTTCAGTTTGACCTTTCAAAACCTGATTCTCCTTCAGTCTTTTCAGCAAAAGCTGTAAACTGTGGGGTACTGTACTCTTCACCTGCGCTATTGGTCAAAGATTAGATGATCTGAATGATCTGAGCATCACGCTTTGAGAATTTTGTGGCTAAGGGGCACTCAGTTTCTCTTGTGGACATTTCCATTTTGTGAAGGGGAAAAATATATTAATTGAGGGTGTGAGGGCAGCTCTCTGGAGCCTTTGAAGGGGGAGCCCTGGTTTTGAAGCCCGGCTCTGGTGACTGTCTTATTTTAAAGCCTATAAACTTTGGAATAGGGCCAAAGAAGCTGACCTGCTGGAAATGTAGGAGCCTGTACAATTAAGAATCACTGGAGTGTTTTAAAGATCTAGGTTTTTTGATTTTGGAGCAGGAACAGTAACTAGCTAGGACAAGTAAAGAAATATCTGTATTTTATCTTCCTCTGGAAGAGCTGAGAGCTGTCATTCGTTGGAAACTTGTTGCATACTATTGACTGATAAGAACTGTATGATGCAAGCAGACTGGCATGTGAACTGGGCCAGAGTCAATGTGTTGCACTGAGATCTGTGATAAGGCTGAAGTTCTTAGGTGTTCTTGTTGCATCAGTATCTCAGTTTTCCTTTTAAATAATGAAGTTTCTAGTCCTCTGGAAACCTTCTTTTATGAGACAGCCATTTTTATGTGAAGGAGCAAATGTCTGCCACTCGCATGCCTGAGAGGGATCTTTGTGAAGGAGGAGGAGCAGTGTGTCTCCAGGAGCCTCGCATCGCTCCTCCTTCTGTGGAAGTGAAAGAGGTTTCTCTATAGTGCTAGGTTTTGCACTGCTAGACTTGTTGTTTGGCCCAGATTGCCTTCATCTTTTCATAATTAAGGAAGCCTGATGACAGGTGTATCAGAAACAGCAGGAAGAATAAATGTAAATGTATCAACATATAGGTCTTAAACCAGCACATAATCTCACATTATCAGATAAATATGGTTTTGCTTGTGATTAGCATAGATAATTGTGATTGGTATAACCAGTAGCCAATACTGTATGTTTAAAAAGCAAGGACAAATTGGTGAGGATGTCTGTTTTTTACATACTGACTTTGTTAGACATTCAGATTTGAGGGACCTCCTTGAAGACCTTTTATTAATTAATCCTCATCAGAACTCTGTGGCATAATCTAAAACATCTTGAGCAATGTCCTCTTTATAGAAATGATGACGGTGAAACAAAACTGTATGTGCTTAGGATCAAAGAGCACCTTGACAAGAATCAGGCTAAGGGGGCACTCAGATTTCCTGCAGTGTATATATGCATCTGTTCTGGAAAAACAGGACATAAGTTTGATAAAGCCCCTATAATGACTGATGTACGTATGTAAGGTAGCATTTTGGTCATGACTTTCATGTTTTTGGAGAGCTAAATCATTCTGCAAAAAATATTTTATTGGTCCTTTTGTATAATGTGCTGAATGGGCATATGCTAATGAAGCTATTCCTAAATGACTGTATCCTGTCATGCCCTGGGCACTCAGCTGTATATGCTCTCCACTCACCTGGAGTACTTCTGTGTGCCTAGTGGTTTTTTTTGTTTGTTTGTTTGTTTTTAAATAAGTCAGCTTCAAAACTCATGCACAAGTTTTTGTGTTTGACAGGTGGCTAGGATACTAGAAGTTTCCGAAGAAACGAGAAGGGTCATGGGAGTGAACTCTGGTCTTGAACTGATTACTTTGCCTTATGGACATCAACTGCGCCTTGACCTAATTGAAAGGTAAATGTTCCTGTTACTCTGCATTTCTAGGGCAGATGGCCAGAAGATCACAGCACTCCTGTGTTCTATATTAAAGCATCAAAGACCGCTTTCCTGCACGCTTTTCTGAATTCATGTGTACAGAAGATAATTCAGTGGGATGCAAAGTATCACTTCTATTTGCCCAGGGAAATTCCTGAAGGTCGTGGAGCAGCTCCATGAATGTAATATAGGGAAGCATAGGGAAAGCAGAATGGTACTGAAAGCAGGGTCCTAGAGCTGCCAGACATGGTCAGCTCTCCTTTATGAGCTCAGGCATTAGGTAAATTAAATTCACGGAAGACCTGTATTTTAGCTGTGCAAGTGGTTGTGGAGGATAATGCAGTTAATAGCCTTCTGCAACTAGGGGAAAGGCTAGGAGATCTATTACACCAAAAAAAATGAACAGCAAAGCTTTTTATAAACCTTCTGCCCAAGTTAAGGGGGAATTATTTATGAGCTTTTACCCTGATACCCATCTCTGATGTCTAGCGTCTCTGCTTTTGATTCAGATTTCAGACCTTTTTTCTCCAAAAGTTAGGTCATAGGGGGCCTCTCGGGATGTGAGTGTGGAGGAGAACGAAGCTAGGGCAGTTTTCCGGTAGGAGTGTTCAGTCTTTCAAGGCATGAGCATAATTCTGCATTCAGAGCTTTAGCATCTCAAGCCAGTGAGCTAGCATGTCATAAGGAATTACAGACCTCCCTCTAACATATAGCAACTGACCGCTCCTGATCTGTTCCAGCAGGGAGTAAAATAGAAAAGCAACTCTCGGCTGTCAGGTTTGGTTGGTTCAGGCAGTCTGCTCCATGCACTCGCCGCCAAGTGGACTTGGCAGCTACTGTTCCACCTTGCTCACAGGGCACCGACCAGGTAGCGCTTCCCCCAGATGAAGCATCACAGACGGTCTGGCTGCGCAGTAAAAATATCTTAATAATAATGGTTAAAATTTATTAACCCATGAACTCAAAGCCAACATATCTATATTTCATGTAATGGCATTACTGCTCTTGATACAAATATGTTGTTGTTAACAATAATTCAGTTTGCTAAGGACAATCAAGACAATGAAATATACCTTCAAACTGATCTGCTCTGAATACATGTACAGCATAATGTATTATTATCATTTTGGTAATTGGTAACCAGTAGTATAAATTATCTCCTTATAGGCACAATACCATGGCAATAGGAATAGCTGTGGATATCCTGGGTTGCACAGGAAATCTAGAAGATAGAGCTGCAACATTAAACAGGATCATCCAAGTAGCAGTGGAGCTGAAAGACTCATTGGGGGATTTGTATGCATTTTCTGCCATTATGAAGGCACTAGAAATGCCACAGGTAAAAACTATTTTCTCTTTATGTTCCAAAACCTGGAGTTGTTTGATAGGTTTGATTTATTTAAACTAACTCTGGTCCTTACCTGATTGTCTCAAGACTAAAGATAGTCACAACAGAAAGCTCACTTCCCCACGGACAGGAGAATCTGGATTGTTTTTAGTCACTGTGAACTTAACAACACATCTAACTATGACAGCAGGCTAATTCTTGTTGATGTTAAATATACTGGAAAACTGTTGTTTTCTAAAAGAGGGCTTCAATATATGAAATTGCAAGTTAATGGTGCAGAAGAAATGGCTTAATCCTACTAGAGAAAAATGAATTTATCAGGAAGCAACTGAATTTATAGTTGCAGACAATGAGTTGTCTTGATGCATCTCATTTTGCATGTTGCTGAAATGTTTACGAACTTTCCTGTTTTGTTCAGATGATCTTTCGAGACTACCATTTTTTTAAGGAGGAACAGAGGTGAACAATCCCAAAATACAAAACAAAACAAAAAAAAATTACTGTGAAAGAGCATAGCTATATCTAGTGGGAAAGAGAGGTGCAGGAAGGATGCGTGAGCTTTGAGACTAAAAGTGTAGAGGAAGCTAAATTTGCTGAAAGTCTACAGGTAGCAATAAAAGGAGGAAGGGACCATGAGTTCTATAGTGATCTTCCTAGTCTGATGCCCTCTAATGTAAAACAGTACACTCTTCCACAATGTTTGTGGTGATGGGTAATGTAGGTAAATTACAGCGAGCACAGAGTCTAACAAGTTCTTATGATACAGTATGTCTTTTGGGTTTTTTTGTTTTTTAATGAAATAGGAGAAGGAAAGGCTCTTCTTGGTTTGATTCCAAACAGTAAGAGGCAGACTAGATGAAAATGATCTTGAAATGACAGGAGTAGGATAGGAGAAAACACAAAAATAAAAAGTGAACTTCTAGAAGCCTGACTTCAATATTTGGATCTGACAGGTTTAAAATCTCAGTCATAAGAGAGCAAGAAGATTTGGTAGTTCCTCAGAGAAACAATTCTGTGAAGACATAAGGGCACGCTCCTTCAGTTGCAGGAAGGCTAGAGAAAGTGAAGTAAGAGACCAACTTGGCTAAATCGTGAGCTCTTCCCTGAGTTCAAAAACAAGTAGAGAAGAGTACAGGAGATAGATAGAAACTACATCAAATTCTTAAGGGATGGAGGGGAAATGTTAAAAATATTAAATATGTATAGGCATAAAATCAAAAGTTCATGGCACAAAATAGTTGCTGCTAACGAGGCACCATTTTAGTAAGAAATCAACTTGTAAGTACTCTACTGAGTAAGACTTAGGAAAGCATTGTCTTTGCTGTCAAAGAGAAAAGCTGTCAGCAGAAGCCAGTGAGGAAATCAAAGGTTTGGATGTGGGTTTTTTTTTTTTTTTTTTTTAACATCAATTTTCAGTAAAAAGTTCAAATGCGTGGGTGACTAATATGATATGAAGGATTCCCAGCTCAGAATCAGAAAAGAATAGAAATTGGATGTTTTCACACATCATCTGGAAACTTCAGCATTTTAGGATGAGCAGACAGTTTTTCAACTGTTACAAATTACTTTTGTGAGTGCATCAGGATTAGATGAGATACAGGGACTTGAGAAAGGAAATGGGAAAATATTAGAAGGGGACTCGACGGCAGAAAAGAGCAGTCAGCCTAACTTCAGTTCCGTAAAATCCTGGAAGGTAAGGAAAGGTGTAGTAGCTACAGTGTATTTACGGAGAACAAATCCTTCAAGCTGCTTTAACTTTTGTTCTGCAACTAGCCTTCTGAAGGAAACAGTGATGTCATCTGTAAAAGTAACTTACTGAAAGCGAGATACAGTGTTTCCATAAACAAGGGAAAAAATGATCTGGCTGAAACTTACTTTTCTGGGGGTATACCAGTGCTTAGAAAAATGGAAGTAAGTAAGTTGATCATAGTTATCTAAATGGAAGAATGTATCAAATTAGAGATCTCTGCATCCAAGACTGTTGAAAGTTTTCATTAATGACCTAGACTGGAGAAATTATGCATATATCATCTGCTTAAATCTGGATCAGAGATAATAATGTGTTACTAAATAATACATGGTAGCAAAAAAAGATATAAAACGAGCAAACCTGCTGCTCCAACAGTGGCTATTTAAACTCAGGTCTTGCCTTTACACATGTAAATGAAGCCTTTTACTCTACCTAGCATGAAGAGATCTCAATTTGAATACAGTGCCCAGTTTGGGATACAGGTCAAATTTGGACTAACCACAGAAATCGAGCACAAAGAAAGTGATCAGGAATCTAGAAAATGGGGAAAAATGAAAACAGATTGAGCAAATTAAGACTATTTAGCTTAAAAAATGAAAAGCTTGAGGGAGTAGCTTTCAAGCATATGGAAGCTAGTTACAAAAGAATGTTCTGCATGTCCCTAGTGAGTAGAAACAGAATTAGCGAGCTTAAATTGCAAACAGGAAGACTCAGGTTTTGTGTCAGGAAAAACTTTAGGAGGTGAAGCCCTGGCATAAATTGGTTGGATTATCTAGGCAGCTGTGGGAGTCTCTGTTTCTGGAGACCTTTAGAAAAAGTACACAAATGGCTTGACAGCTATGATGGCTATCAGGCTTGATACACGGATGATTCCTCCTCCTGCCAACTGGTAGAACGGTGACATTATTTACTAAAATTTTGGCTCTAATGTTGGACTCAAGCCTTTGGAGTAGCTAGATCTTATCCGAAAGGCCGTGTACTACTGAATAAGTCACACTGACTCAAACTTTGCTAGTAGCAGTGTGTTTTCCATGTGAATTGCTATGGAGTCAAAAATGGGTATTGTTTTCTTTGAACAGGTCACTAGGTTAGAACAAACCTGGACTGCTCTAAGACATCATTACACCCAGACTGCCATTATGTATGAAAAACAGCTGAAGCCATTTAGCAAAGCTTTGCATGAAGGACAAGGTGAGTAGACGAGTGTGCATGAGTGACACTGGTTTCTGTCTATCCTTACAACTCTCCCTTATAACTCCTGAGTGCCTGTGTAGGGAGAGGAGGCAGCTGCTGTTGTGCTAGCTGAGTCTCATATGTTAAAAGCAACTACATGAACTTTTGTAATGCAGTATAACACAAGGGCATAGAAGGAACCATCTGCTAGCACCCATGCAGACTATAACATTCTTTCTCTTCTCAACCCTCCCCCCCCCTTGTGGCGAACTTGCAGAGTGGTTCCTGTCAGTCCCTGCCTCTCTATCATCTTGCTTCAGAGATGGACAGTGGACAAAAATTCTCCTCCTACCTGTATAGGGAGAGGGAGAAGACTTCTGGCAGGTTTTGCTTTGCCTATTGGAGCAGAGGGCAAATGCTGAAATACAAAGAATGGGTCAGTAATTCCTCTGATTGCAGCAAGTGCTCCTGCTGCCTGCTTCTGCAGGAGCCAA